TCAGGTCTTGATCTCAGCATTGTGAGTTCAAGTCCCATGTAATGAACGAAAGAATGAACGAATGAATGAATGAATGAATAAAGTAATTCACTTCAAAGGGCACCTGGCTGGCTCAGTCAATAGAGTATGTGACTCTTGGTCTCGGAGTTGTAAGTTTGAGACCCACGTTGTGTGTAGAGATTACTTAAAAATAAAATCTTTAAAAAAAAATAAAGTAGTTCCCTTCAAAACCAAATAATCTGATTATTCACTTCTCCTAATGGTTAACAACCGTATTTCAAACCAACCTTCTCACTAAAACCAAAAAGGTAAACAAACACAACACAATAAATGCTTGGAGAATTACCAAGGTAGCTAGGACTTAATAAGCCAAACTTCTAGAAGGAAGAGACTCTCAGGGTGGTAAGCAGAACACTAATTTTCTCCCTAAGTCATTTGCCTAATCACAAGCTGTGGACAAGAAGGTGAGAAGAATGCTAGCCAGTCTAATAGGGCTACAGAGATAAAAATTGGAATTCATGGCTTACCAAGGGAAAGAGGCCTCAGACTTGGTATGAAAGGGCTGAAAGGCCACAGCCCTAGGAGAAAAAGTTAACCGGAAAGCTCTATAAAGACTGAAGCTTGGGTTAAAATAAAGCACTTTTGAGGCTTCTGGTCCAAGATGGTGACATAGAAAGATCCTGAACTCACCTTTTCCATTCACTCACCCCACCTACACCTATTTATAGAGCAATTCCTCCTGAAGAAAAACTGAGGGCTGACTGAATGGCTTCTGCACAACCGAAGATAGACCATGCAGAGAACATCAAAAGCGATGGAAACACGGTAAGGCAGGGAACCCCCACCCCCCATGCGGCCTCTGGAACTGCAGTGGGGAGGGATGGTAGTGAAGGACCAGGAGCAGATCAATCTACCCTGAGGCACAGAGAAAAAGCCATGGTTTAAAAGAGCAACTAGAATATAAAAGACACAGCCCTAGAACTCTGCCAAATGGTGGGGGAGCTGCTGGAACTCTTCCTGCATCAGAGGGGCTGGTGAACACCACATTTAATATTTCCTCTCCACCTTGATAGAGCGGACAGGAGCAGGGTCTGGGCACCATAGTGAGTCTGCTTGTCTGGGGGAGCCCTGAGCCCCTAGCCCACACCAGCCCTAACCACCCCACTAAGGTAGCCCCAAGATGGTACACACCAGGACATTCCTAGTCAGTACTCACTACAGCTCCAGCCATCAAGGCAAGGTGACACAGGTGCAAAACACCCCAGAACACTCCAGGCCTGCACCACTTTAGCTCCAGATGGCTTGTCAGGGCACCCCTAGTGAAGAGTGCTCTGGGACTTCCTGGCTCATGCCCACTATGGCCCCAGCAGCCCTACCAGGGTATTCCCTGTGCAAAACATCCCAAGGAACCCCCAGCCTACCCCCTGCCTCAGCTCCAGCCACCCCACTAGCACCCCCTGCACAGAGCACCCCAGTATACCCTGGTCTGTGCCCCATCTCAATTCCAGCCACCCTACCAGAGTGACCCTGTGCTGAGCATGATAGGACCGCTTGGCTTGCACCCACTTCAGTTTCAGCTGTCCTGTCAGAGGACCCTCTATACAAAGAATCCTAGGACCACCTCAGCCCATGCCCACTTCAGCTCCAGCTGTCCCACCAGGGTAGCCCCAGCTCAGAGCGCTCTGGGATCCCCCATACCAGCCACAGCACATGACAGGAAATGTCGAAAGGACACAGAAACCAACTTGAGTGGGCTTTTACTAATGAAATCTGGGACAACTTCAGAATAAAAATAAATAACGGTATAACAGATTATACTCACGACATGAAACAATGATGTAAATTAATAAATAATTGAACATTTGATGAGAAATAAGATTATTTGCATAATTTTTACATATTAAGTACAAAGGGGAAAAGAGTAACAGTGGAGAAGCTCTGAGGATACCACTTTAAACAAGTAATCTAAGTAAACCCTGTTAGTAATGGGATAAATTGAAATCATGCACCATGTGATATGATAGAATTAAAAAAAACTTTTGTGATATTAATGCCAAAGGTGAATGACCTATATCTAATCATTGGAAAATATAAGACAAATACACAATAACGCACATTTTTTCAAAATAACTTGCCTGTGATTTTTAAGCTTCGAAGTCATGAAAGTCAAAGAAAGCTGGAAACACCAGCTTGAAAGAAACTGAAACAACTGTATTCAACATGTGACCCTGGATTAGATCCCTCTGTGATAAAGAACATTATGGTGTAAATCTAGCAACCATGCTAAATTTACTTAATTAGTAGGATTTTTTTGAGATTCCTTAAGATTTTCTACATAAGCAATCATGTATGCCAATGAAGATAGTTTTACTTCTTCCTTTCCAATATACCTTATCTAATGTAAGTGGCTAGAATCATCATTACAATGTAGAATAAAAGTGAAATAAAAAATTTTCTTGCTTTGCTCCTAATCTTAGGGAGAAAGTATTCAATCCTTAACTGATTATGTATGATGCTGGTTCCCGAGTTTTCAAAGATACCCTTTATTTAATTATGAAAGGTTTCCTTTAATCCTAGTTTACTTAGAGGTATATTTGTTTTCTTTCATTTTTTTAAAAAATATTTTATTTATTTATTTGAGAGAGAGAGAGAGAGCACAAGCTGGGGTGAGGGGCAAAGGGAGAGGGAGAAGCAGGCTCCTCGCTGAGCTGGGAGCCCCGAAAGGAAGCTCCATCCCAGGACCCCAGGATCATGACCTGAGTCGAAGGAGATGCTTAAGGGACTGAGCCACCGGGTGCCACTTTCCTTCATCTTAAATGGGTGTTGAATGTTGTCAAGTTTTTTAATTTATTGAGATGATATTGTTGAGAATAACACTGGTTTCCAAATATTAAAACAACTTTTAATTTCTTGTGAAAGTCTCATTTAGTCATGATACATTAGCCTTCATTTTTAATTTTTGATATTGCTGAATTTGATTTGCTAATATTTTGTTGAGAATTTTTACACTTAATTTATGAAAAATAGTGGTCTATAATTTTCCTTTCTTATAATATCCTTGTCTGGCTTTTGTGTGGGAGTTTAATAGGCATCATAAAATGAGTTTATGTGAACTGGTGTTATTTTCCTTAAATGTTTGATAGACTCACCAAGGAAATTCCTATGCGCCTAGAACTTTCTTTGTGTGAAGAGGCTCTTAATTAAAATTTTAATTAGATTTTGTTACAGGCACAAAACTGTATTGGTGTTCTATTTCTTGTTGTGCCTGTTTCAGCAAGTTGTGTTTTCCAAGGAATTTTTCCATTTCATCACAGCCGTGGCACTTACTGGGAAAAGGTTATTCTGAGTGTTTTGTTATCTTCTATTTTAATGTCTGTGAGACATGTGGTGATTTCCCCTTTTTTTATTTTGAATTTGGTATTTAGAGTTTTCTTCCTTTTTTCCTTCACCAATCATATTATGGATTTAGAAATTTTATTAATCCTTTTAAAGAACTAAGTCTTGGTCAAATGCCTCTTCTACATCAATTAAGATGATTATGTTTTCTCCCTTTATGCATTAATGTATATCGATTGATTTTCTTATGTTGAATCATCCTTTTATTTCAAGAATAAATGTCACTTTGTTATTATATATAATCCTTTTAATTTTTTGATTCAGTTTGTTCGTATTTTGCTAAGGATTTTTATCTATTTTCATAAGGGGTGTTGGTCTGTGGTTTTCTTTGGTGTCTTTTGCTCCTTTGGCATCTAGGTTATATTGACAGCATAGAATGTGTTAGAGATTGTGATATTCTAATTCAAAAGAATCTGTATTTGGTCACTCAGATGACCAAAATATATCTCTCATATATATTTGGTCTTCATTCAAAGTTCCTGGCTCACAGTTCCCCAAATTCTTGAAATTTCTGGAGACATAAGAGCAATGGGATGATCTTTTGTTATGTGATCCCTTGTCCTCAGTTCCTGAAATCACTTCAGAGCCATAAAGGTGAAATGCATAAGTCCCTTTCCACTACAACTGTGTTTATGTTAATGAGGTGACTTTTGGAAAGCACTGAAGGATGGAAGCTGGTTTCCAGGGAAACCAACTATGTGATTAGAGGGTTGGCACTTTCTGCCTCACCAACTCCCCCCTCCTCCAGAGAGGGGAGAGGGGTTGGATATTGAGTTCAATCACCAAAGTCCAAGGGCTTAACCAATTATGCCTATGTAATAAAGCCTTCATAAAAACCAAGAGGACAGGGTTTGGAGAGTGTCCAGGTTGGTAAATACATGGAGATTTGGGGAGACTTATGCCTGAAGAGGGCATGGAAGCTCCATATCCTTTTTCCATACCTTGTCCTATGTATCTCTATATCTGACTGTTGACTCATATCCTTTAATTCCTTTAATATCTTTTGTAATAAACCAGTTATCTAGTAAGTAAATGGGATTTGTGAGTTCTCAGAGCTACTCTAGCCAGTTAATTGAACCCAGGGAGAGGATTATGGGAACGTCTAATTTATAGGCAGTGGTCAGAAGTGCAAGTAACAACCTGGACTTGTGATTGGCATTCTGAGCTGGAAGGCATTCTTGAGGGACTGAACATTTTACCTACGGAATCTGGTGTTAGCTCTAGGTAGTGGCAGAATTGAGTTGAACTGTAGGACACCCAACTGGTGTCTGAGAATTGCTTGGTGGTGTGGGGAAACTATTCCCCCCACCATGGTGGAACTGGGTTCAGAATACTATTAGAGGTATTTTCTTATCATGCTAGATAATGAAAAAACACTATAATGAAAAACATCCAGTTGCTTTGGATCTTAACATTTTAAGAAACTAGAATGAAGGCAAACTAGGACATAGGTTTAGAGATAAATCTTAATGTGTTCCTGGAAAATCTCTATCGCAACAGGAAAGATCCCTTCAATAACATGGAAACTGACCTAAATTAAGAAACCTAAAGCAAAAATAATTGATAATACAAAAAGAAATTGCCATTAAAAAGATCTAGCATACCTTAAGATTAAGTGCATTTCTTCCATATATTTGACAGTTTACTATGGCGAGGTTGGTCACGGCTATTATTGTTTCATATCGTGTTGCATTAATAGTCTTAAGACCTCCACCACGAATGAGATGTGCCTGTGATTCCTCTGGTTTTCTAGATTTAATGATACCTAAGTAAACAAAAGAAATCATGAGACTCAACTGTGTTAGCACTTAGAATGAAAGTTAAAAAGTATTTATGTTATGATAACAGTGAATCATAATAAATAGGTTAGCTGTGTAAATCCTCTGGAAGAGATTCCTCATAACCTTCACCCATCCAATCTCAGCTGGTTGCTAAACAGGGTGTTGTGTGTGTGTGTGTGTGTTTCAAATATTAGTACAATTGTCTTTCAAAAAGAAAACCACATGCTTATAGATTTCTATCTAGATAAGTTAAATTCCATCAATCTCAGTCTTTTTGTGTTATATGTAAAAATATTTTTAAAAATTTTATCAATTTACATAAGCAAGTTCTTGCTTCATAAAACTAATAAAGGACATCATATAATCATAAGTCAGATAGAGATCACCTCCCAAGGAACAACCTTGCTTTTTCTCCTAATACCATCTTGATGCATATTTCAAGTGCCTTATGTAATTCAGCTTCCTTCCCTCAGTTTGAAGACCCCACACAAGAAAAGAAAAAAATCCGAACAACTCAGAAGTTAGCCAAACGGAGATCATCTAAATTTACTTTATCATGACCCTTGTGGGTTTCACCTTCCATCAGAAATGTCCTATCCAAGTATACACCCAAGTGCAGCAGGAAAATATTTTGAAATTTTGTAACATAAATTTTATATTCACAGCCATTCTTGCTGCATTATTTGCAGCATGATATTTTACAATCTCAGCAATTCTTATGCCATTGCTTCAACGAAAGGATATAATGCATCCTAGACCAGAGAAAACAACGTTCAGCTTCTAGTTTCTAAAACAGGCCCTGTGTGCCCATTTCAGATCAATAGATGTAAAAGTTAACTGCAGCAGAAAGATGTGTGATATGATAGAGAGAGTCCTTGTCTTGGGAGAGTGGAGCAAGAAGGAAAGGAAAGTGAGTTAAGACCTAAGTCTGTGGCCTGCTCCCAGCTCACCTATCCTCATGGACTAAGCCCAAGCAGTTGGTTTTTGAGTGGAAATGAAGGAGACGGAGGTGGAGAAGTAAGTACAAATTCCCTGATGGATCTCTGAAGGATCTGAAGACCCTTAAACTCACCTGAAATTTTTCAAAGAGGGAACCACCAGAGTGGGACACACCGAATAAATCAGAAGTAGCAGCATGACTTGTTTCAGTTTATGATGCGGAAGAGACTGAGAAGTTAATTTGTGTCACAGATAATGGTACAGAACTACTGGGAGGGATAGTGGGCTCAGAGAGTCCAGTGGTTGCTATAGTTGACAACACTGTCCTGTAGATTTGAAATCTTAAAAATTCTCATAACAAGAAAAATGTGGGGTGGTAGATATTAATTTATTGTGGTAATCATTTCACAATAAGTAAACCAGAAAAAAGAGTTCTATAGTTGGAGTGTTCTATGTTTAATCATTAATTGAATCATTAATTTGTTATATAATTTTTTCTATTCTAGAATTTTATTTGACTCTTGTTTTTAAAAACAAAAATCCTAGTTCTCTAGTAAAATTCTCCAATTTGTTCTTTATTTTCTTAAACATAGTAGTCACAGTTATTTTAAAATCCTCATTTGAAAACTTCAGTATCTGATTCTACGGCTCTGTTTCTATTGTCTGTTTCTTTCTACTGATTTTCAGACATTTTATCCGGTTTTTAGGATGCCTTGTGATTTTTTAAATTTAATGCTGGACATTGTGGATGAGAATTTTAAAGGATCAGGATAACGTTATGTCTCTCCAGCAAGTGTTAAATTTTCTTTGATTAGGCAAAGAGTATCACTTTGATTCATTAAAGATTGGTTTTGAGTTTGTTAGGTATAATCTACTTTAGTTTTGTGCCTTTTTCTAAAACATCATCCTTATTTCTAATGCATGGGTCCTCTGGATCTTCAACTAAAAGCCCAGTGTATTTACAAGGCCCCTACATTTTGGCAGAACTTTAATTCCCATAACTGTCTTCCATGCCACTATGAAAATATATGTTCATTCTTTAGCATCTCAGCTGATATTTTCTGTTGTGTTTCATAGCAGAAAATATCAGCTGATATACACCAGTTTTATCCTGCATATGCACAGTTTAGAAATCAGCAGATATGTATGCAGACATTTGGACTCACTTTTCTCCTCTCTGAGATTTTGCATCTCAAGCCCCAGCTATATTGACAGCCATGAAGTCTGATGGCTATCTCCTCATCTCAGTAATACTACCCCTTTCTACTTGTGCTCTGTTCTTTAACACCACAAATGACCTCAGGCAAAAGCCAAGATAAATGTAGAGCTGACTTATGAGCTTCCCTTATTTCAAAGATTGTAGCCGCTCATGTCAGGCCTATAATGGTTACTCTCCAATACCTTCAGTAGCTATTTTATATATTTTGGGCAGCTTTAATAGTTGATTTTGGTGGGAGGGTTTGTCCAATACAAGCTACTCAATTGTAGACAGACCAAAAGTCTTCAAGTTATTTAAAAATCTGTATCTGATAATTCTAACACCTGGATCTCCTGTGGGCATGTTTTTACTGCTTACTTTTTTGATAGTTCTCATTCATTTTGTCTCTTTCTTTGTGTGCCTCACAATTATGAAATGTTTACTATTCACTGTATTTGTGAAATTATTTGTAGAAATAATGTGAGTCTAGGATGATGTAATTTTCTTTAAAGATAATTTTTCATTTGTTTCTGCTTGGTAGCTAAAGTCAAAGCACTTAGAATAGTGCCTGGCACTTGGAAAGTAGTTACTTTTCATTATTTCATGTTTATCTGCCCCACCCAGATTAAGGATACTTGAGCTTTTATGTTTATCAGTACAAAGTTTGGTTTATAGTCAATATTTTAAAAAAATAGTTACTGACTAAATGGCCTAAAGAGCTGAAAATGAGGTGAGACATACATGTGAATCACACACACATACACCAACACACAAAATCATGAATACTTTTATAGAGAGATAAACTTATATACAGTTTTTTAAAGAATGATATAGCATTTACCTTCAGGCAGGTTTGGCATGCTTTGCCTTGGAGTACTTTCTACATTTTCGGATTCTGTTATATGAGTTTCTAGAAAAAAGAAAAAAATGAACCAACTTTTGGATTCCTGTGAAAATTCATGTTAAGGGTGTTATGATTTCATTATAATTATTCATCTTTTAATGAATTTGTATTATTCATGGAAATGTGTCCATGAAGGCATCCATCAGCATTGGCATTCTGCTTCTAAAGTTCATCTAGATTACCTTCTGAATGATTGTTCATTCTCACTGCTCTTTTATATTGACTTTTCTGATCCTTTGAACTCCCTCATCTGGTTCCCACTACCCACTACCACCATTTGGGTAGAGTACCCAGTTTGACCTTGGAAGACCTTCAAGGTCAGTACCTCTGTTGTTGCATTCTGGCTCATATATTGAATATATAGGCAAAAAGTGATCCCATCATCCAGAGCTGCAAACCCAAGGGATAACTACCCTTTGCATGCCTTCTCTCCCCTTTGCTCTACTTGATCCCATTATTACAAACCATGTTCAGAATGGATTTACCTAACAAAGACTGTCTTCGAGGTTTTCTTGGCAAAACTGGTGTTGGTATGGACATGAGGCCTGGAAAATGAGTAATACTTAGTACCATGGCAGTATTTTGTTTTAAATGTTTAGCCCATCGTCTTTCTGCTTTAGCACGCCTAAATCCTGGAACAGGGCTTGGCATTGTTGCATGTGGACCTATCAGAGATTGCCTAAAAGTATAGGTAGATAAAGGTAGATACTCAGAGTGAACTTCCTTGGGTTTGGGAGGAATAGCTGGGGAAGTGGTACTTGGAAGTCTGGAGAACTCTGAGGAGAGAAACAGAATGTCTTTGAACATGTCACCAAAATAAAATTTTTTTATTTTTGATGCTTTGTCTTTTGATTTTCTTGACCTTTTCATTTGTCTTGTTTCTTTCCCAAAAACTCGACTTGAGGCTGAATGACAGGTTGGAAAAAATATGGAACCAGTAGCAGTCTCTGGAATGTGCCAATAGACATTCTTAAAAGTTTTTCTGGGTATTGCATTAGTAGTCACTCTTTCTTGTACATAATGATCAAGAAAAAGATTTTGGATTTTGACAAGGGTTTGTGGTTGATTTCTTGAAACAACATCAGGAAAACTAGTTTTCTTTCTTTCAACTGAAGTGGTTTCATCTTGAATGAACTTTACATGTTTTGGCTCAGTTTTACCAGTCTTGGCTAAACCAGGGAAAAAAAAAAAAAGCACAATTAGTTTATATTTATCAAGGTATCAGGGACAAAACTATTAATGTGTTAGCATTCATAGCTTTTCTTTATTTCCTCACCTCTCTTTCACCTTCTAAAAATTTCTGTATATGCTTGCTCAGCTATCAGGACTTTTGTTTAGCTGACTGGGGTAAAGTTTGATCAACTGGAGAAGGGGAAAGACTAAATTGTATTTGGTTTAGAAAGGGTAGGGATCAACTCTTGGAAGAACAGAATTGATAGAAGAGTAGGACATAAAGGGAGTTTTTTTGAGCAGTTACTACTAAAACTGGAAATATGGATGGGCAAAATGATTTTGATGAAGTTTTGTTATTTATCACTTATCATTATCTCTTCTTCATTTGAAACTTCTTCGAGCAAAGACATTTCTTTTCAATGCCAAATGGCAGACCAATGTCTGAACACGATAACATCCTGATATTGGCTACAAGGTACTACAGGTTCAGTTATGTTATAATGGTAAATGTTCTTTTCTCTCTTCGGTGCAGAAAATGCACTGGGTCTGCATTCTTCAGTACCTCACTACACCAAATATACTTTCTCTCTCCTATGTGACTGAATGTTAAATGACTTTTCTTCCATTGTCTCAGTTGAGTACAATAAATGATGAGGACCTCTACCTTCTGAGGACGAGACAACAGACTCATTAAGGCAAGGCTTGCAAAGAGATGGCCAAAACAAATCCAACTCTCACCCATCTGTTATCTATATATAAGAGATGGCTAGAGACTGCCCTGAGTTCGGAGAGAGGAATTGTTCTGAATAGAGCTATTGGGGTGGTATGTGTTTTCTCTACCTTCCCCTCCCCGTGGCGGGTGGGAGAGGATGATTTTCCTCCCACCTCAAACCATGTGAGGGAAATTCTCAGAGAGCCATTTATAGAGAAGAGGAGCGTATGCCACAAGGAGAATATAACATCTCGCCACGCCCCTCGTCACATCCCCCACTAATACTTACAGAGTAGCAAAAAAGTATTAGCCCATCCAGTGCTGTGTTCCAGTTGGAGCAAGGCAAGAGGATCCTTGAAACTACTTGATCTGTATCTCCTGACATTTCAGGGGGTACAGAGACTGATGCCTGATTCTTGCCTTCATTCCTTAACTCTTCCCCACCCCCAGCCCCACCCATGGAGGAGCGGAAACTATAAGTTGTAGAAAAGAAATAAAGGACAAGCTGGAAGGACTTATCATGCCCCTGTTTCCTTTGACTTGTCTAAAAATTAGCAGACCTAGTCTGAGCTGGGAGAAAGGGCAAGGTTTGATTTCATGCTAGTTAAAAGTAATGATTTAGATTGAAATATTCATTTAATATCTGAAAATGAAACAAGGCTCATAGCTGAAAGTGATGAGAAAAGCCTGGGAAGAGAAATGTGTGCCATGTGAGTTTGAAGGGGCCGGAGGAGGAGGAGGAGAAGAATGTTTGCTTCCTCTTTATATGGAACTAATAAAAAGTAACTCATTCAATAAAATGGTTACACCACTATCTTCACCTTTTTTTCTCTCTCCCATATTAAAACAAACATAGTAACACAAGCAAAATCCTCAACAAACTCCAGAACTCCTTCCAACCACCACCATCTCACCATATTTATCCTTCCCTTCAATGGCAAACTGAAGTAATTTACACTCAGTTTGATGTCTTTTCTTCTCCTCTCTGTTGTTTGTTGTTTCACTTTATTTAATCTAACTTTCAATTAAATCAATGGACTTTGTTTTTAGAACAGTTTTAGATACAAAAAAAAACAAAACAAAAAACTTAAGAGGACAGTTCCCATACATTCCCCTCCCCTGCACACAGTTTTATCTATTAGTAACATCTTGCATTAGTGTAGGACATTTATTACAATTGATGAACCAATGTTGACATACAATTAGAGTCCATAGTTTACATTAGGGTTCATTCTCTGTGTTGTACAGTTCCATAGATTTTGACAAATGTGCAATGTCATGCATCTACTATTAAAATATCATAAAAAATTTCACCACCTTAAAATTCCCCTGTGCTTCACCTATTCAACACTTCTCCTCTCCCTGAACAAACTTCTGGCAACCACTAATTTTTGTGTGTGTGTGTGTGTGCTATTGTTTTGCCTTTTGGATACTTCTGAAAATTCATGTTGAGGGTGGTATGATTTCATTATAGTTATTCGTCTTTTAATGAATTTGTATCATTCACGGAAATGTGCCCGTGAAGGCATCCATCAGCATTGGCATTCTGCTTCTAGAGTTCATCTAGATTACCTTCTGAATGATTGACTAGGATACCTAGTCTTCTCCTTTTCTAGTTTCCTAAGGTAAAAACTTAGAGTATTTGTTTTAGATTAATCTTCTTTTCCTAATATATGCATTCAAGGCTATACATACCCTCTAAGCCCTACTTTTGCTGTATACCACACATTTTGGTAGGTTGTATTTTTATTTTCATTTAGTTCAAAACATTTTAAAATATCTCTGTGACTATTTTGACCCATGTCCTATCTAAGTGTGTTGTTTAATCTACAAATATTTTGGGATTTCCACATATCCTTCTGTTATTGATTTTTAGTTTAACTCCACTGTGTTCCGAGAGCAAACACCTTATAATATCTGTTCTTTTAAAAGTGTGTTTTGTAGCCCAGAATGTGGCCTAGCTTGATAAGAGTCTTATAGGAGTTTGCAAAGAATGTTTTCTGCTGTTGTTAGGTGAAGACAATTGGATCCTGTTGATGGTACTATTTGGTGCCTTACTAATTTTCCACCTGTGGATCTATTAATTACTGATAAGGGGTGTGGAACTCTTAAACTATAATAATGGAGTTATCTATTTCTCCTAACAATTCTAGCAGTTTTTGCCTCAGATATTTTGATTCCCTCTTTGGGGTACATGTCAAAGATTATTATGTTTTCTTAAAGAATCGACCCCTTTATAATTAAGTATTGCCCCTATTTATCCCTAATAATTTTTCTTGTTCTGAATCTGCTCTGTCTGAAATTAATATAGCTACTTCAGCTTTTTTTTGGTTAGTGTTAGTATGGTATGTCTTTCTCAGCACCTTTACTTTTAACCTGTGTTTTTATATTTAAAGTAAGTTTCTTATAGACAACATAGAGTTGGGTCTTGTTTCTTTATCTGCTATAACAGTTTGTCTTTTAATTGGTATACTTAGACCATTCACTTTTAATGAATTATGGACATTATTGGCTTAATATCTGCCACATTTATAAAGTTTTCTAGTCATTGCTATTGCTTTGCTGCTTCGTCGTCGTCTTTTTTAAATCTTCCCTTCCTTTTCTTCTTTTTCTGGTTTCAATTGAGCATTTTATGATTCAGTTTCTCTCCTTCAGTTTCTCAGTTTCTCTCTTAGCATATCAATTATACCTCTTTTAAAAAAATTTTAAGTGGTTTCCCTGAAGTTTGCGATATACATTTATAATTCATCTAAGTCTACTTTCTTTTATTTTGAATTGGTATATACTTTATTGATTGGTATCAATACTTTAAATTCCAGCTATCTTGATAATCAAAAAAAACAAGACAACTTAAGTTTGATGTGCTGCATTTAGAAAGGATATTTAATTTATAATAAAAAGTTTCTTTCATTGTCCTTCCAAAGTCTCCTCCCATTTACTTTTCAAACCATTATGACCTAGAATTTTCCACCTCTACTACCAGAGCTGTTATCACAAAGTTATTGATATCTGGTTGCTAAACCTAATGGAAACACATTATTACTAACTTTATTTGACCTCTTTTTAGCATTTGATACTTTAATCCACTCTCTTCTCCATGAAATTCACTCTCTCCTTGGCTCTCATGGGAACACCATCATTTCTCCATTAATGCCACCTGGCCATTCATCTTTCTCTAGACAAATCTTTCTTTCTCAATTTACCATTTAGTATTCCCAAAGGTTCTATCATTATCCCTCATCTCACTTTTAACTAATTTTCCATATACAATAATAATTCTAAGTCTGGGTCTGGAAACCCTAAGCACCTAAAACTTATCATGTCTACACCAAACTCATCAGCAGTTTCTGTTCTCCTTTATCTCATAGAGATACATATGTTATCTTGTCACACATATGTACGCGCACACACACACAGACACATACACATACACATACTGGAATCTTGGATTTCTCTTGTATTAGCTTCCTCTAGCTGCTGTAACAAATTACCACATACTTGGTGGCTTAAAGCAACAGAAATTTATTCTCTCACACTTCTGGAGGCCAGAAGCCAAAATTATATCACGGAGCCAAAAATCAAGGTGTCAGCTGGGCCATGTTCTCTCCGGACTCTCTTGTAGAGAATCCATTCCTTGCCTCTTCCAGATTCTGGTGGCTGCCAGCACTCCATGGCCTGTGGCCACATCACTCTTATCTTCAAGGCCAGCATCTTCAAATCTCTCTTTGCTCCATCTTCATATCATCTTCTCCTCTATGTGTATAATCTCCCTCTGCCTCTCTCTTATAAAGATACATGTGATTGCATTTTGGGCCCACCTGGATAATCCAAAATAATCTTTCATCACAAGATCCTTAACTTGATTCTATCTGTAACCCCATATAAGATTTTTTTTTTTTTTGCCATATAAGATAACATTCACAGGTTCTAGAGATTAGGATATTGATATCTTTTTATGGGGTTATTTTTCAGTCTACCATACTTCCAATCCCTCAGTCCTCACATTTAACATATCCAATTAATCACCTCCGGGCTATACTCAAATTACATATGTCAGCTCCAAAGCTTCTAATTCCCTACTTCTTTTCCTTCCCCACTCCACTCCCCTTTCCTTTTCTACCATGAGAATCAATGAAGAAGTGAGCTATTGTTCTGATGGATTCATGTCCCATCTTCATTTGGTTTACAGTGGAGAAAAGGATTGAAAATCAGTGACCTAATCAAGTTCTGCTGTTTCAGAATAGAAAGATAAGACCCACCGACTGAATGACTTCCTAAAGCCATGCATCATATCAGTGTTGGAGCTAAGACCAGCATTCAGATCCCTGGACTCCCACTCTAGGGACTTTTGCACTTTCCAGGTTGCTGCAAGTTAGTAAACAATTGCAGGCCAAGCAAGAAGTATTACAGGGAGTGTAACATCTCAAAACTATGCAATGATCTTATAGTTTATGAAGTGCCTTCACACAGGCTCTTGCATTTCAAACTTTTTCTATTGCAGTTAAGTGATATTTTTAAAAAAACCCAGATTTTCCCTTCTAATTTTCACTGCCATCATCCTAGTTGACATTGATCTAACTTCACCCTTGATTTTCTGACACAGTCTGATAACATTTCTATCACATTATCTGAATCTTATCAGTGATAGCTCAGATTCCTTACTTTGGTGAGTAAACATCTCTGTGAATTGGATCCACTTCCCCTAACCTTGTCGGGTAATGACTCATTAATTTCCAATGGAAACCTTCAGATACTCTAATTATTACTGATGATCACAAAGCCCATACTGCTTATGTGTGATTTCATTTCTTAGGTTGATCACACTGTGTGGAATACCTTCTCTTACAAAAAAACTGAGATCATTTTCTTCTTTCCAAAGTCTACCTTAAACTTTATTCAATCCATCTTTCTTGATAAATATAGCCCACACTTACTGTTCTCATTAATTCCATAAACGTTTGACACATACCATGTACCAGCTGTACACAGTGCTGAGGATGCAATCACACAGCACACACCTTACTAACAGCCAACAGCTCACAATTTAGTATAGAAACTAGACAGGTAAACAGTCGCACCAGAGGGGGGCGCCTGGGTGGCTCAGTGGGTTAAGCGTCTGCTTTTGGCTCAGGTCATGATCCCAGAGTCATGGGATCGAGTCCCACATCGGGGTCCCAGCCTGCTTTTCCCTCTCCCTCTGTCCCCTGCCCCCCGTTTGTGTGTGCTCTCTCTCAAATAAAATCTAAAAAAACCAACAAAACAAAACAAAACAAAGAAAACAGTTACACCAGAGAATGTATGTGCTTGGTAGGGGTAAACGTGGAATACTAATGGAGCATAAAGGAAAGTACTCTGACTGGGCGGAGGGAGAAGAGGTGCTTAGGGAAATCCTCTCAGTGAAGAGGCGCTTAGGGAAATCCTCTCAGTGAAGAGGCTATCATCTTTTCAATTCTATACTTCCCTAGTTTTTGATGTTTCCCCATGATTTCTTTTCTTTTTTTATCTAATATATTAAATTTCTACTTTTCCAAAAGACTCTCCTCTGTCATCAGAAACGACACAGTTCTCCTCTATAAAACACATTTCATTCCACTTTTACTAATTCCTCAAGTCCTAGTTCAAGCCCCATTCCAGCCCCAGTGCTCTCTTATATCTATGAACTACCGTCTGTACCATTAATTGGACATAAATTCTATGCTGCCTTATACTGTTATTTAAGGTTCTGATTTTATGTGTAACTCATCTTTAGAACTTGATTAAAGGTCTTAAAATGTCCTGAAAGGCAAGCACCAGGTCATTCAGGTTATTAATTCCCTATAGTATCTAGAATTGTAGGCAAATTATAGATATTTATTTCAGGGTTTTATTTCAGTGTTTGAATATTCATTTTTATAAACTGTACTTGAATCGTTTTAAGTATTAATGAATTCATTCAACAAATATTTTGAACACCTACTAAATGCAAAGTACTTTACCAAGAGCCTTTGGAAACATGGGATTAATAACAGTCAAGGTCATAGAACCTCTGAGGTGCCAAAAAGCAGGAGAGCCCCCCCACCTCCCTGACAAAAAAAGAATTAATCAGTCCTGTACTCGCAGATAAACTTCAACTAAAAGATGAATGAAAAAACTACAACAAAAGAACTGGTAGTGAGCAGTAAATCCACATAACTGTGTCAGCATAATTGTTATAGAACAGGTTGTAAATGTAGAAATATAGAACACAAAAGAAATGTAGAAAGGATATAACAAAAGTTGAAAGGCAAAGAGGGATAGGAAATTGGAGGTTGTATGGCATGTTGATTTATATATCTTTAATAGCCATGAATCAAAGGTAATAATTTAACATTGTAAATCAAGTTACAGACTACACATACTTTCACAGTATAAATGTTGACACTAAAATAAGGAAATACATTATAAAATAATGATTACATCAACTAAAATTACAATGAAAACAATCAACTCAACCACTTGATTTTAGATTTTCCCCTGAAAAGGGGAAAAAAGTGGAAATATGCTAATTTTATCATTGCTACAAGTAAGGAGTCAATAGATACCACATACGGAAATTAAGGATTAAGGGTATTATATAAAGTGATAGTTATTCAAGAGGCTCATCTTTACTTCATAGCACTTATCACAGGATAATTTTACATTTACTTATATGATTATTTTATCCAACCAGAGGGTAACCAATGAAGAGGATGGACAGGGTCTCTTTTGCTCACTATTGCACCCCCGATTCCTAGCACTGTGCTCAGAAGTATGGTTGATTCTTGTTATTCCTAAAAGTTCTTTTCTATAAAAATCTCAGTGAACACTGAATTATCCAACACCGAGTCGTTGCTTCTAGGAAAAATACAGGGTTAGGTTCCTCTAGGCCTCTGGTCTCAACATTATCAGCAACAAATCAATACACAATCTTGTATTATACGTGTTTCTATTTATTTATTTATTTTTATTTTTTTTTAAAGATTTTATTTATTTATTCATGAGAGACAGAGGGAGAGAGAGAGGGAGAGAGAGAGAAGCAGAGGGAGAAGCAGGCTCCCAAGGAGCAGGGAGCCCAATGCGGGACTCGATCCCAGGACCCTGGGATCATGACCTGAGCCAAAGGCAGACGCTTAACCATCTGAGCCACCCAGGCGCCCACGTGTTTCTATTTAAAGACACTTTAATATATATTGTTGATTCATTAATTGAACAAACAGCCAACAGCACTGCAACTCATACTTGAAGGAAGCTTAGCCAATACATATGTTTTTCTCTGTAAGGTACATCACAGCCTTTTTGTGCTTAGGAACACAAGACAGCACTGGAACACTATGCCTGGGGGCTATTTTAGACAGCAAAATCACCAACAAAAAGCACAAAAAATTTAAAAACATGGCACTGAGAAAAGACTGAAAACAGACTGAGCAAGGGGCCGTTGTTTACAGTATAAGAGCTGAAACAAGAAGGCAGAGCATATCCCTTGCTGGACGTCAGCTGCGAACGCGTTTTCACTGCCCTGTTCATACTCATCCACTAATGACCAAGAGTCACCATATATGCTACTCTCCTACATACGGTGTCACCTATTATAAAAGGAGAAAGAGTTCTCTCTATGGCTCTGAAGTGTTCTTCATGATATATCATTGAGTTAAAAAGACAAACTACAGCACAGGGTACTGCCTTGGGGGTTAGAAATAATTTTAGCAGTTAGGTAAATTTGCACCTATAGAATCCACAAACAATGAGGATCAACTGTAATTGTTGAATTGAATTGGATGTTATCATCTCACAACAAACATTTGTAAGTTACTGCTTATTAGTGAGTGTCTTTTTCACTATTATGATTCTGAACTGTGCAGGTTGAGAAATTTCTATGAAAAATAAATACACTTAATAACATATCTGATTAACACACATACCTGTATGGACTTTCTTCTTACTTAAAGGCAGCTTAGGGAATTTTGGAGGTAAAGGTCTTCGAAGTAGTTGTGGGTGGTTTTGCATTTTAATTAACAATAGGCATGTTTTTCATAGCTCTTGGTTAAATGAGAATTGAAAACGTTTTGAATATGTTTGAATTGTTGCTGAAAAATCATTTGTTAGAATCTAGATTACATCTTAGTGAAAATCATTCTGTGCTAATATTGTACTTATTGTACTGAGTCCAAGCAGAATTCCTATAAAAGAGAGGATAAGAAATAAAATTCTTTAAAACTTCTAGAAAGAATATAGATAAAATTTAGGTTTATAATTAACACAGAATTTTAAAATACATATACTATTACCAATCATAATCATTCTAAAATTTCCCATGTTAGCAAAAATGTTCAGTCTGCCAAGTTAGATCATCTAGTAAATACTGATTTTCCAGAACAGTAGAAATAACACTCATTTTTCTTTTCTCTACCTTCAAAATGTTATCACTTTACATATTTGGGAAAAGATTTGGTCAAAAAGATAAGAAATCCCTCCATGATAGCCTCTTAAGACCCACCATATCTAAGTATTCACAAGTAAGCTGTTTTCTTTCTGTAACTGACTTGTCATAAATTGCAACCACTACTAGTTGGGTTATACTATTTAATCAAAAAATAAGATGGTCTTCAATCTAATTAGATTTTCCAGGATCTCTGTTCCAATTAGTACTATTTAGAAATGATGCCAGAAGACGGACCCCCAAAACATGCGCTTAGTTCTCAGGGCCACATCAAAGTGCCTGACACATCACTATTCCGTTGACACTCCAGAAGGGAATGCTTTGGAGCTGCATAAATGGGCCGTTTTATCCCCCAAAGATAACTTTGCACACAAGCGCTCAAGGTATGATCCCTGTTAGTACGTCCACTTGATGCTGGTAATTTTCCTTCCATACTATCGGAGAAGATCGGTTGGACTCCTATACTACCCTCAAAGGCAATCAATCAGCTGCTTCTAAAATTAACTGGCTTTTCCCCTTGGCCTCGGAATTTAGGCAGCGAGGTAAAGGTCAAGGGAGGTGGTGGGTCTTCCCGCGGAAAGCACGTAGGTTATCCTGGTCCCCTGGCAAGGCGCGGCCAGAGGCCACGGAGACTGGCCCTAGCAACCGGAAGCCGATAATGCCGCCCAGCCCGCTGGCCTCTCAGGCGCTAGAGGGGAGGGCGGGGCCGGGCGGGGCGCGTGCCCGAGGAACCCCGCGGAGCCGGCCCCGCCCCACGGCTCGGCGCGCGCCGAGCCCACGAGCATTTCTCCGCCGCGGTGTCCTGCTGCCGGGAGGCTGCGCGCGGTGGGGGCTGGAGGAGAAGTCCGCTCCATGTGCAGCTGCTGTACGGAACCCCGTGGTGACAATCGTTATTACTATTTTCATTCTTAATGACAATGACCACTATTATTTATTTACTTTTCTTGATTACACGACGTATCTGAGGGTCTGGGCTGGCCGTCTTTAATGCTGCACTTGGGCGCAGCCGGGTCCCGTTGCTGATTTTGTAGTACCCCCGAAAAGGGAACATTCTGTTTTCTTTCTCTTCCTTTAATGCAAACTGTTTTGCCTTTCTGATCCTTTCAAGTTCCTGGATGAAGAGAAACTGAGTAGGAATAGGGACATGAAGAGTCCAAGCTGGCTTTAAAAGAACCCTTTTCTCACTGTTAACAGTGATTTGTTTTGATTATCGTAGTATGGCTTGTCTCCTCTGTCATGGTGTTGAACCTGTACATACAGTGGTCAGTACATCGTCTGTGTTTGCATGTATGTGCATGTTTCTCTGAAGATTTGAGGGGGAAAGAGTGCGAGAGAGAATTCATCAGTAGGTGTGCAAATCCCAACTCAGAAAGTAAAGCAGATGGAGCTTCCTCCCAGTCTCTCTCTCTCTCTTTTTTTAAATACAAGTGTAGGAACTTCAGTAACAGGTGTTGGAAGATGAAAGACTTCTGTATAAACCTGCCTAGCTTTGGGGGTCTTTTAAGATTTACTCCCTAACCAAGTCTTCCTCTTTTCTCCTTAGGAGCAAGCATATATTTTATTTTATTTTTTAAAGATTTTATTTATTTGACAGAAAGAGACACAGCGAGAGAAGGAACACAAGCAGGGGGAGTGGGAGAGGGAGAAGCAGGCTTCCCGCGGGGAGCAGGGTGCCTGATGCGGGGCTCGATCCCGTGACCTGAGCCGAAGGCAGACGCTTAAGGACTGAGCCACCCAGGCACCCCCAAGCATGTATTTTAAAACAGTCAATGAAAAAAGTAGAAAAGTAAAAAAAGTAATTCATCAGACTCTGAGAAGTATGCAGCTTGTTTTTCTTTAGAGTATTATTAGCACGTGGCTTCTTTTTCCTTGTAGGATTCCTAGGTCCCAATGAGACTGTGGCGGCTGCCATGCATTTATTCCACTTTTGCCTATGTCTACTCCATAGACTGATTAGCCTCTCAGAAAGACAAGGAAGTGGACAGCAATAGGCAGATCTGATTGCTAGGTTTTGTCTCAAATAATATTTGTTGTGCATATTTTGTAAGTGTGAAAAATGTTTTTAGGCATAAAAATGTGTATTTCTCATACTTAATCTGTGTTCCTATATTTAAATTGAGTCATGTTCCTATGTTCTTAAAAGTTTTTGGAACCATGAGAACTACTGAGATACAGTTTTACTGACCAGTGCTTGACTTTAAAATTTGTGCTTAGTGTTGCATGGTCACAATCAAGGCAATGTGCTTATCAGTAATTTTTTTAAAAAATGCTTTGTCACATGTGGAATCAGGCACCAGGCTTAATTCCCTGCAGATTTCTTCTAGCAAGTACCAGGCAGAACCTCGGGCTGTTTAATATGGAAATGATGTACAAATGCAGGCTGGATTTAGAAAGCACAAATCACATTCAATTTGGATTATTTTACTATTTTATATTACTTATTTAATTTTTTTTTTTTACTTTTTTTGAAAATGTTACTACCTCATTTTTTTTTTCCTTTAAAAAAAAAGCGTGTCTCCTTAAGGACTATAGCTCCGTCTTTGATTTTAAGGGTCTATTTTACCTGTTGTACAGTATGGTCAGCCTATGTATTTGTCCCATCAGCTTTGCAGTTTGGCAGAACCATGTGATGAAGCTTATGAAATTGAACCACAACACTTTGGCTCTTTTAGCAGATTGTATTAAGGAAGGCAGAGTAATGGTGAGCCAAGGTTATATGTGTCCTGTGTTTTTGTGCTTTTTTAAAAAACTGTTGCTAAAATGAGATAAAAGCTTATTCAAAAGCAACCTTAGGACCCGAAGGTAATGCTATTGACTTTCCTAATGCCTGGGGAATACCTGGGGAATCTCAGATTTGCCTGTTGGTGAAAGGACACAGCTCTGAAGGAAAGGTGTAGAAATTGTTGCTAGAAATCTTTACTATTTTCCATATACCTCTCTCCTCTTTCCTTTTAAACATAATAGGTTTACTGAACAGTTTCATCAGTGTAGATTTAATCTAACATTTTACCGTATAGAAATAACTGCAGTAATTTGTATTTTTATGCTCATATTAGTCTTTTAGAAGTTCTTTTTAAAAAATGAAGAGTTATTTTTGAGTGCACATTAGTTAAACTGTTGAGTCCCCACAGTAACCCAGGGCACCACAGTGCTTTTGAGAAAGAGGTATTTTCTTGGTCTGAATTTATCTATTCAATTATGTATACAGTACTGGGTAATGTCTTCACGCTTCACCAGTCACAGTGGCTTAAATTTATACATTTCATGTGTTTTCATTAAAGAACAGTTTTATATTTTCTTAAATGGTAATAAAGGTATTTTGAAGCTGCTTTTCTTTTTACTTCTCATATCTGAAAACTTCATTTCTGTTCTTAATTATTTTAATTATTTTTGGCCAGTTATTTAGTTATTTCTTTTTGTTTTTCAGGATGATAGTTATTTCCTTACCTTTGTTTGAAGTAGAGACTGATCCTGAGATTCCTTTAAAGAAAAAAAATCATTACTAAGGAAAAGATTTAAAAATTGTTAATAAGAAAATATCATGCAACCTGCATCATAGAATTAAAAAAAAAATCTTAAAAAAAATCCTAAACATAATGAAAGGACAGTGTCTGTTTTTAAAAGCATATTCATGAATTCACTCATTCATTCCAGAATGATTTATTAGAAACCTACTATGCATAAGATAATTTGTAGGTGCTAAACTTCAAGCTTTATTAAAATAACTTATAATGATTTGTTTGAGAATTTATAATTTTAGACATTGAAATGAAATTTTAAATCATTTTCAGAGGCTTTACTTATCTATAACTACTTGAGGTTTTTTAAAATTTTTAACTTTTATTATGTTGTTTGGGTAGGATAACATTATTTATTTACACCACCCCAAATACTTGGAAACAGTTGTGTATTTCCTTTGCTTCAGTGATGGTTTTGGACTGTTCCTCTGCACCCAGCAGATATTAGGTATCTATGTATATTGTGTGACTTGTGTCCTTCACCAAAAAAAAGGTAAAAAATATTTGTTTCCTTAATGTTAGGTTGACTAAGCAACCTTGCCTTTGGTGCTGTGAATGATGAAATGTCAATGTTGATTACTTTGTGGAAGGCACTGTTCTTAGCTTTGATTTTGTTTTATCTTACTCCACAATTATCATGCTAATTGAACATTCTAGTATCTGCATCAAATTTCAATCAAAGGCTGCATAACGGAGCTCACTCAGCTCAGCAGGGTTCAAATCCCTGGCTGCCCTTTCTTAGCTCTCTGCCCTTGGATGAGCTGCTGAACCTCTCTAAGCCCCTTTGGTTTCCTCACCTGTGAACTTGGGGTAAAATGGGACCTAAGGCAGGGTATTGTCAGGATTTAAAGCAATAATCTGTGTCAAGGACTCAGTTTTGTGCTGTGTACAGTGAGTCCTCATTAGATGCTAATTGCTAGAAAACAAACGGCCCAGGTGTCCTGTCTGCATTGTCCCTGCTTTATGTGATAATAGTTGATGATAGGTGAATCCTGGGCATTTATCCCTAAAATATCACACCTGGTTTGCTACCGTCTCGGGCATGGCAG